TCCCTGCACTGTATGTATAAACAGGAAAGGGAAATAGATCCTGATAAAGATTGATTATTGGCTTTATTCCAGAGTTAATATGTCTGAGAGTTGAAATGTCTTTGTTTTTGCTACCATTTTGGACTGTTTTACATTTTGGAGACTTAGTGCTGCTTGTCACTCAAGAGTTTTATTTTGTTATGTGGACTTTGTTCCCCTTTCCAAATGGGTTAAGCTGCTTACATTTTATTCAGAATCTTAAATGCTTGCTTGATGATTACCCTCTCACTACAGCTGGCTAGTCTCAAGATTCTCTATGCTAAATTCCAGTCCTCAGTCCTAAATAGCACATGAAACTTATCTACCTTCTTTTCAACTAGTGTAGCTACATGAAATTATTACTTTTTAATTAAGGTCCTTGTTTTTGTTTCAGAAAATTAACTATTGTTTTTGTGTCTAATATGAGGCAAGGAATTTTATTTAGCTTAATACCATTCATTGAAGCACTATAGTTTCCTCATTTGAAAATACCTTATTTGTCACTGGCTGGTGTGGCTCACTGGTTGAGTGTGGTCCCATGAATCAGGAGGTCACAGTTCGATTCCCAGTCAGGGCACATGACTGGATTGTGGGCTCGATCCCTGATGGGGGACATTGAAGAGGCAGCTGATCAATGATTCTCTGTCATCATTGTTTCTATAAATATTTGTCTTATATGATTTCCAAAAGATCACTATCAGATAATATACTTATTACATTCAGGATTCCCATCTAGAATAAATGAGAATAAACATAATTTAAAATTTATTTCCCAAAGGTTTTTGATATAATTACTTAAGGTATCACCCAAAATTCTGTTTATATTTTAATAGGATAGTTCACTCTATTTGTTGTGTCCCAAATTAAATTTTAGATGCTTAGAATTTTTTAATAGCTTTGATAATCTGTGCATTGAATTTTCCTCATCACAATGTTTAGTCCATACTCTGAGAACAACTGCTATTCTATACTATTCCAAAATGTAACTATTTAGAACTTGATTATATATCATTTTTCATTGTTTGATTTTTATTTCTTTATCTAGATCATAATGTGTGTGAGCACAAGGACATAACTTGTCAAATATATGCTCAAAAAATGTTGGTCATACACACAGACAACAGTATGATGGTTATCAGAGGGAAGGGGATTGGAGGGGCAGTAAAGGGTAAAGGAGGCCAAATACATGGTGACGGAAGATGATTTGACTTTGGGTGGTGGGCACACAATGCAATATATAGATTATGTATCATAGATATGTACTCTTGAAACCTATATAATCTTATTAATCAACTAGAGGCCCAGTGCACGAAATTTGTGCACGTTAGGGTCCCTAGCAGTTGCCAGCTGGGGCCCACCCTTCGCTCCATGCCGCCCCCTGGTGGTCAACACATATCATAGCGAGCAATCAAACTCCCAGTCAGTTGAACTCCTGAGGGGACACTTTGCATTTTACGCTTTTATATGTATAGATGTCACCCCAATACATTTTATGTAGAAAATTGTTAAAAAGGGAAAAAATAAGTTTTAACAAATTGATGAAATATACTTTTGTGTTATACCTCATAGTGCCTCACACAGAGTAGGACTCAATAATTACTAGCTGCTTAATAAGCTGGTAACAATAAGATATTCCTAAGGGATTCACACCTTATTAGTGCTCTGAAGTATCAGTCAGTTTTGTTTAAAATATTGAATTATTTGATGTAGCTAAGACACATATAATGTGTTTTTTAGTTCCATAAATGTTAGCAGACAACTAGAATGAGGTGAAGTGTCCTGTTGACAATGCAGGACAGCAAATCCACCATCAAACAAAATGTAATTGCCAGGTAGTTACTTATGCTACTTAATTGCTCTTCCACTCTTTCTTTGGACTCTATTCCTTCCGAGTTATAACCATTAGTGGTAAGGGTAACAATGAAAAAGAGAAGATATGTTAGGAGAGATACATATATATAATATGTATGTAGATAACACAGGATGTGGTTCCTGTGACTGAGTTCCCATACCATGTTTATTAGTGACCGCAATTATGAGTAAAAAGCCCTCAGGACCACATGGAAGTTAGTTTTGGACAATCCTAGTACTGTCTCTTCCATTCTAAGAAAAATACAGGTAAAACTCAATCTAGCCCAGCCGGCATGGCTCAGTTGTTGAGTGTCGACCTATGAACCAGGAGGTCACAGTTCGATTCCTGGTCAGGGCACATGCCCAGGTTGCTGGCTCCATCCCCAGTGTGGGATGTGCAGGAAGCAGCTGATCAATGATTCTCTCATCATTGATGTTTCTATCTCTCGCTCCCTCTCCCTTCCTCTCTGAATAAAAATATATATATATTTTTAAAACCCTTAATCTAACAAAGTTAATATTGCAGAACTATTGAGATTAATGACTAAACAGCATTTCCTAATTTATGGAGAAATGATTTATTATATTATTAAGTACCACATAAAACATCCACTGAATACCCAGAGTAGGGAAGAGAGTAGTAGCAAGAAAGAAGTGTCAGACCGGGGAGATAGCCCATTTTGATTCAGAGTACTCTGGGTAGGTGCTGTAAGAGGCTGAAGTCTATAAATATTCAGGCAAACAGGAGCGCAAATATGAAATGTGAATCTGAGAGCATATGAGAGAACCAAGGGAGATGAAATGGTCCCTGCTGTCTCATAGTGTATATACTCCACAATACTTAGAGTTTATTTTGGGATAATCAAGACTTATCATTGCCTAATGAATTAAACATGCCCTCATCTTTTTTGCATATATATTTCTGAAAAACTCAATACCCAGCCCCAGCCAGTTTGGCTCAGTACATAGAGTGTTGGCCCTTGGACTGAAGGGTCCTGGGTTCGATTTTGGTCAAGGGCACATACCTTGGTTGCAAGCTCAATTCCCAGCCCTGGTCGGGGTGCATGTGGGAGGCAACCAATCGATGTCTCTCACATCGATCTCTCTGTCTCTCCCCCTTCCTCCCACTCTCTCCAAAAATCAATGGGAAAAAATATCCTCCGGTGAGGATTAACAACAAAAAGTCAATACCCAAACTTCTTGTTCATGTTAATGAAATGCAATTTATAGTCTCTAAAAAATCCTTAGCCCTGCCATGTGGCTGGACTAGAAATCATTTATGATCTTTCTTTTTCTGATGGATGTTCCATATATGCAATGAGTCCCCCAATTGTATTTGTTTCTATAGTTTGGAAACATCTCCAATATCTGTCACTTCCTGACACAACTCCAGTCCTAGCCTTCATCACCACATCCTGAAATTATTACAATGAACTTCTAAATGATTTTTCTATCTCCCCCAATTAATCCACATTGCACATGCCTACTATATTACACTTTCTATACAGGGTGGGGCAAAAGTAGCTTTATAGTTGTGAGTACATGAAAGAGTTTAGTCTTGTATTATTTTTTCATTATTGTATTATTTTCCATATGAACAACTGTAAACCTACTTTTGCTCCACCCTGTATATTCATCATTTGACTTCCCTTCTTAGGTATCTTCACTGGCTCTTAACCATGTCCAGAATAAAGTCCTGTCCACGGTGACTGCATTTCATAGCTCCCAAAGTTTGCTTCCATACTGATTTTTAACCCCAACACCCAGCACTTACCAAACGAGCCCTGTACAAGCTAGGTTGTCTTTACCTTTACCAGAGTTGTGTGGTCAATTCTCTCTCAAATTCTTGCTTTTCTCCTTGGCTGGAACTCATCTACTCTCTTCTCTACATAACTACATAGAACCATCCATTAAACTATAGCTACTACCCCTGCTTTTCCTCCAAGCCATTAAGTTGGTGTCAGAAAACATGTTTGCTGCTATTATCTAGCTGTGAAATGTTTAATATATGAATTCCTACGTCCTCTCTAAAGTGAAGATGTGGCTCACATTTTACTCCTCTGATGTATGTTCCTGGCACTATACCTTATATTTTGCATGTAGTCAGTATATCAATTTAAAATACAAATAAGGTTCCTAGCTTAAAATTTTTACCAAACACCCATCAATTCAGATTTGACAAACATAAAAAAATCATTTGGAATGAGTGATTTGCTTTTTATATGAAGTTGTGACCTGTCAAAGTGCTTAATCTGCTAAATCCCCAACACACATTTCACTTTAAAAAAAATGATAAGCAAATCTTTTAAAAATAATACATAAATTTCAGCTTTGTATTTCAATTATCCCATATTTTGAGTGAGTTGTATCTACATTAGGTTTTATTACCAAATTATCAAGTGGAAATGTTTGATATTAATAATTACTAAGGAATTATGAATATTTCCAAACAGGGAGTTAATCAATGCTTTATCTGGAATCAAGAAATAGTAAAAAAAAAAAAAAATACCGCTATACCAAAGCTTTCTCTTACTTTTCCTGGATGGGAATGGAAAGCATTTAATCCACAGAGAAAAATGATCCTCATATTCTATCATTTACATCTACTACTCAGGGCTTTCAATTGTGTGATACCATAATGAGACAATGGTAAAAATGTCAGGGTGAATGTATTTTAACTCATGAGGAACATGTCCAACAGATTCTCCTGGACACAAATCTTCCTGCAAAAGCATGTTTTCAGTTAACAACATTTTAATAAATCAAGGACTGAAGAGGCACAATGAGAATGAACATTAAATCATGTCCCATTCTTTTACAAGGGAAAATGTATGCCAACACCAACAGAAATGTAACTGTTAATTTGTAGTCAGATGTCTGACTACATTTCATGCCATTTTCATCATCATCATGGGAAAATGGTATTAAAAGAGAAATATTTTGAACAAACTGAAAGAAACCATGTGAACCCACAAAGAGTTACAAGATTATCTTCAAGAAAAGTAAAATTTGTCCTTTGAAAATTCCACAGAATACAGCAAAAGTATATTTTCTGATAGTGTTTAATGGGAGGAAATAGGAATGAAGGAAACAAAGTGAACAGATTTTAAAATATTTTATGGTTATATATCTTAACAGATGCCTATGACCTGAATGCTCACCTCAGGCTTCTGCATTCCTATCTGCAAGAAAAGAAAAAGCATATAGTTAAGAGGACTTAATGACAACACATTTCAAAAATGGGCTTAAAAAATATTTCCAAAGAGTTGGGGGAGAACTTTTAAATGGTTAGAAACAATAAAACTCTGACCATTTGTTTGAATTACAAATTTATGTATACTTTTCCTTTTTCACAAGATGAGTACAACCAATTTAAAAATTAGAAAGACAGTACAGATACATTTCAAAGTGGCAAATTTTAAAGTGCACTGCCAAACTGCTATGATAAGTACTATACACAAACATCTACATGCAAACAGTACTGGGTTACAATGTTTCAGAGCAACTAATAGTGTTTGTTAGCAGAACTACACGGTAAAAAAAGTTAGAAAAATAAAACAAATACATCTCTCACTAAAATCTTACATAAAATGTCCCTATTATTTGATTCATATATAAATGCAATGGCATCTAAATCCAGAAAATAATTTTAGTACACACTCATAGACTTGTAAATTTTGTGACCAAAAAAATGGGCCATGACGATAAAGGCTGAGAGATAGTGAATATGAAAAAAAATACCTAATTAAATTTTTAAAAAACAGATCATGGTGCCAGGCCAGTGTGGGTCAGTGGTTGAGCATCAACCTATGAGCCAGGAGGTCAAGTTTCAATTCCCAGTCAGGGCACATGCCCATGTTGCGGGCTCAATCCCCAGTGTGGGGCGTGCAGGAGGCAGCTGATTGATGATTCTCTCTCATCATTGATGTTTCTATCTCTCTCTCCCTCTCCCTTCCTCTCTGCAATCAATAAAAGTATATTTTTTAACAAAGAGATGATGTCAAGGACTGGTGTGCACGCGCTGCAGAATAAGTTGTAGAGGGAGCAGAGGTGGCAGAAGGTAACAGACATCAATTTAGGTGCAACAGAATGAGTGGGTTATAAACAAAAGTGGTCATGAAACACAGAAGAGTAGAATGGGGGACTCTCTCTATATATATATACACACACATATGTATATACATATACTATATATACATATACTATATATATGTTACTGAGCAATATTCAATTGTAATGTAAGTTAGGTAGATTTTAATATGAATTATTGTGAAATCTTGGCCACAACTATCTCATGAAATTGTGCGAAACAAATATAACTTTTCTGAAAATGCTATATAAACTGTAAAATGCTATACTCACGTAAGACAGCCCTATTTACTCAAAAAGCAAACAAAACCTCTCATTCCAACGCTGGGAGAAGGCACACAGTGAGCTCTCTGGAGAGAGAGGGAGAAAATCTCACTCTGGTCCATTCCCAGATTTTCTCGGAACTACAGGCTTTACAGTCACTCTACAGGCTGCCTTTGAATACAGAGCAAAGACACTATAATTTGGTCTAATGCCCATGTGGACAATGTCATACAAGAATTGTGGGGACAAAAATCCTTCTTAATCTGTGGGGAAAAAAGATTTCTTTCCCTGCTCCTTAAGCTTCACAAAACTATATTGACTGTGTAAGTGTGATATTCAGTTATGCCAATTGATCCTCTTTGAGGAAGGAAGGAGAGGAGCCGGAAATGTGATAAAGATTCACCAAAACATGCCAAAACATTTTCCCTCCCAACACTAAGTGCTGGGGTAGAAAAAGATGGCCAAGATGCACCATGTATACGCACACTGCAGTGACCACTTACAGCTAGGGAACTGAGGCTTAGTGAGACTAAAGAACTTACTTAAGGCCACTTATCAACAACACAAGTCAGTTTGTTCTGGGACTGAGTTATATCAAAGCCCTAGCACATTCCACAACCACACAATCTTACAGAAAAAAAAGAGGCTGTAAAGATAAACAGGGAAAAAGAACCAGCCGTATTTTTACTTTCTATGTTCAAGCTCTACCACTAAGCTTCAGAAATACTTTGGCATTGTGTAAATTTTCCATTATTTTTAACGTTAAACAGCAGTGCCACCATTTCTGATCATTAACTCTCAATGAAGATTTCATCACATTAGAGCACATGCAATAATCATTGTAAAATGTCTTAAGCTTTTCAAAAAAGAGCACAGTATCATTAAAATACAGAGCTCAAAGGACCTCAGAAGCAATCTATTCAAACCACCTCATTTTATAAATAAGGACATTAAGGCTCAGATAGGTTAAGTGACTTGCTCAGGGTCACTCAACTCGACAGTTCCAGGTTCAAGGTCAGAGCTGAGACCTGCAAAGGCGTGGCCCGGGGCCGTGTTCTTTCTCGGGCCCGAGAGAAAGGGCCGCAGTCACACACAGTCCAGAACACCTTAGCATCGAGCGCCAGGAAGGAAGGCTTTCTTG